CCAGCGCCAGCGCGCCAGCAGCAATGCTGCCCATGGCAGGCCCGCAGCGCCAGCGCCAGCGCCAGCGCCAGCGCCAGCGCCAGCGCCAGCGCCAGCACCGATCCTCCCCATGCCCACAGCGCAGCGCCAGCGCCAGCGCCGCCAGCGCGCTGCAGCGCCAGCGCCAGCGCCAGCGCCAGCGCCAGCGCCAGCGCGCGGAATAAGTCTATCCCCGTTTTGGAAATGAGTGTCGCGACCAAGCTTAGGGGGAGGGTGCCTCGAGTTCCAGAAGCTTCATCTACGATGTGCCTGAGAATGGATCCATTGACTTACGTATCAGGGCCACATTGGTGGATGATATCCCGGAGTCTGAGATCTCTATACTGTGATAGTTCACCCGCAGGATCCCGCATGTGGACCTCCACCTGTTCGAGATACTCTGGGAGCAAGTGACCTACAGTACTCGGACTACCAGCATTACTTCCAGAAGTGGTGTCAGGGCGCGATGTCAGGTGAGGAAGTCAGGCGTCTTGTCGGCGAGGAGGCTTATGAGATGATGCAGGTGCACTACGTTGCCGAGCAAGCAGAGTCGTGTTTGGCTAAGCAAGACGAGCAAGAGGGTGTGAGCAGTACGCAGTTGGATGCACAAGGGCCTGATATCCTGGTGCACGTGGTCATCTGAGAGCACAAGGGGAGTTTGTAACCGTCTCGTCTGACACAGACGTTCCAGAAGACCCATTGGGCTGATGGAGAAAGGTGCTCAAACAAAACCCTAAGCCCTAAGCCCTATAAGCCCTAAACCCTAAACCCAAACCCAGGCGCCTGGGGGCCAACCCTTTTCAAGATAGGGGCCGGCTTCAACTCGTGAAGGGTTGGGGGGTGCAACCCTTGTCAAGAGGACGTCTGGAAGCCGCCCACGGGGGGGGGCACCCCACCCACCTTGAATTTTTATAGTTTCGGCCACTGTTGCCAGCCGCTCCAAGTCGTGAAGTGTTGTTGTCAGGAGGGCAGGATCAACTCGTGAAGGGTTGGGGGTGTGCAACCCCTGTGGACAGGCTGCTGCAACTCGTGAAGGGTTTGGGGGTCGAAGTGATGTGCTGGCCAAAAACCCTGGGTCTCTATACCTGTACCACTCCGTGGGAGGTGCCGGAGGGGCCGGCATCCGCGGTGTCGAGCCTTCAGCGAAGACCTTATGGAGTTTATAGGGCCTCAGGGTTTAGGGATGAGGGCTTAGGGTATAGGGTCGGAGAGCCGAACCGTCAGGAGCTGGCGAATCTGAAGCTGCTCTTCGATGAGGCCCTGGGGTTCGGGGTGCAGGGTTTAGGGGATCTGGCTTCAGGGGTTTAGGGTTTTAGGGGTTAGGGTCCAGGGGTCTTAGGGTTTCTTAGGGCTTCGGGGTTTTAGGGTTTAGCCTAATAGGGGTTTGGAAGAAAAGACAGATTCAACGAAAGAAATCCGTACCGAACGAAAGAAAGAAAGAGAGGGGAGGGACTTGTAGACAGCGGGGAGGGGAGAGACGGAAACGCATGCATCATCTGTTGCTCCCGTTCGTTTTTTTATTGTATCTTCACAAGACGGAACATTTGTTTAGGGGTTTTGTGCTAAATTTCTGTCGGGGAATCAGGATATGGAGCTTTGTGGCTTGACAGAGTAGGCCGTTCAGATTCGAGGTCTCTGCTGACCCTGGAAAAATTCTCCAAACCCTAACCCTTTACGCCTTCCAAGTCTTCAGACTAAAACAACAGGGGCTCCAGCGATTCCATACCTGCTTTCCCGATGTCTCTACGCTGCTCATTCCAGCGAAGCCCTGTCAGTTCCTAGAACTTCCGAGACTTGCCGTAAGCCGTTTCTACGCAGGAGAAATGGTGAGAACCTGTAAAACGATCCCTGGCAGGTTCAGGGTTTTTATGTTTCAGCATGTATGGCCAAAGCTTGAGGCGTAGGGTCTAGGCCGTAATTAAGATTCAGAATTTAGGGTCATTGGGTTTTGGGTGCTATGCCAACCCTACACCCCGCACCGCGAGGTCAAAAGCCCGAAAGCCCTAAGCCCCAAACCGAAAAAGCCCTGAACCCTACACCCTAAACCCTAAACCCCTAAATCCCTAAACCCCTAAATCCCTAAACCCCTAAACCCTAAACCCTACACCGCACACCGCCAGGTCAAAGGGAAGAAGGGAGGGAAGGGAAAGAAAGGAGGAAAGAAGGGAAAGCCCAAGAAGCCGAAGAAGCATCCTGGCACGGCATCGACTTTGGGGGGGTTTAGGGTTTAGGGCTTAGGGTTTAGGGTTTAGGGGTTTAGGGTTTAGGGTCATGTATCAGGATGTTGGTGGTTCGGGGTTTCGGGTTTCGGGTTCAGGCTTCAAAGCTAAGGGCCAAGGGCTTTGGGTTTAGGGTTTCCGTCGAGGGATACAGGGGCAACTATCTTCTGGCCGAAGCGTCCACAACAAGAATATGGCGAAGAAGAACGCCAAGAAAAGGAAGCGGGACCCCTAAACCCTAAACCCCAAACCCTAATCCGAGTGTTTCGCCTTGCGAGTGTTCCGCCTTTTTCCGACACCACGGCTGTGCCCGCGGTTAAGGGATCCTTGGGGGGGGTGTAGGGTTTAAGGAATCGATTCTGGGATGTTTGTTAAGGGGTCTATAAGGCTTAAGGGATCTTTTCCGGGGTTCTGAGGGCTCTGGTTAAGGGCACAAGCCCCGAAAACGGGGGGTTTAGGGTTTGGGTTTTAGGATTTAGGGTTCAGGTTTTAGGGTTTATGGACCCTAAACCCTAAACCTTAAACCCTAGACCTTAAACCCTAAACCCTAAACCTTAAACCCTAAACCCTAAACCCTAAACCCTAAACCCTTAGGTCTGAGGGTTCAGGGCTCAGGTTTTAGGGGGATTCGGCTCCGGATTGCGGTCGAGTCTGTCTGACAGGGCTTAGGCGTGTGGAGTTCAGGGCCTAGGTTTAAGGCTTTAGGGTTTCGGGTTTGGGGGCTTCGGGGTGTGGAGTTCAGGGCCTACGGTTTAAGGCCTTAGTATTTAGGGTTTTGGGGCTTCGGGGTGTGGAGTTCAGGGCCTCAGGTTTAAGGCCTTAGTATTTAGGGTTTCGGGGTTTTGGGGTGTGGAGTTCAGGGCCCAGGTTTAAGGCTTTAGGGTTTCGGGTTTTGGGGCTTAGGGGTGTGGAGTTCAGGGCCTAAGGGTTTAGGGTTTTGGGTTTCGGGCTTTGGGGTTTAGGGGTTTAGGGTTTAAGGTCTGGGGTTTGGGGGGTTTGGTCGTTTACGGGTTTAGGATTTAGGGTTGAAGGTTTAGGGCTTTAGGGTTTAGGGTTGAAGGTTTGGGGGTTTGGGTGTTTACGGGTTCAGGGGTTTAGGGGTTTTAGGGTTTAAGGTTTGGGG